AAAGGAGTAATTCCAGATCTTGTAATGGATCGCGAATAGAAAGGTTTCACAAATTTATCCCATTTCATAAATCTTTGATTTTAGTAATGCGAGGATTGTTAACAGAGGAGGAAGGAGACCAACACCATGCCCAGGGGCTACAGTGCAGGTGCTGAGAGAGGGAGGTACCTGGGCATTCTGCAGGGAATCAAGGAAAAGGAAGGGGGGGGGGGGGGGGGGGGGGGGGGGGGGGGGGGGGCATAAGGAGGAGAAGGTGAGGAGGAGGAAGAAAATGACAAGGAGCAGAAGAGGAGGAGAGGAGTGCATAGAAGCTTCCTGAGAGGGAGGCTGGGGCTGCAGATCAGCAGTAGGAGCAAGATGAAGAGGAGGAGAGAGCCGGAGAGGAGAGGAGAGGATGAAGAGAGGAGTGGATGGAGGGGGAAGGAGGACAGGCATGGATGCGTGGAATGAGGAGGAGGAGGGAAGAGGAGGAGGAAGAAGATCACTGGGAGCAAAGGAGGATGATACGAGTGGATGGTAGACTGCTGAGGGTCGGAATGAGGAGGAGGAGGCGGAGAAGGAGGCGGAGGAGGAGGCGGAGGAGGAGGAGAGGAGGAGAGGAGGAGAGGAGGAGGAAGAAGATCACGAGGAGCAAAGGAGGACAGGAGTGGATGGTGGAGGGAGGAGGCTGGGGCTGCACACATCAGGAGGAGAAAGATGACGAGGATAAGGGGAGGAGGAGAGGAGTGGATGCTACCGGGAGCCTGCTAAGCAGGGAGTATGGGCCTGCACGTCAGGCAAGTTCGCATCGTGGAGCTGCATGACACATCATCACACAGCAAATCCGGCATTGGTTTACGGTGTTACGCAGCTGATATTGCCTCATGGAGATAGCAGGTGTGGGATAGCAGGTGTGGCCAATAGCATGTAGTGAGAGAGGTGTGAGGTTGGGTGTGATTGAAGTCTTATGCACTGTTTTTTTTTTCTTTGTTATTCGTCATCCACGACTACCACTAGGCTTTATCTTTTCTCACAGTTCGTTGAAGTTTTTTCATTCTACATTGTCGATTCAATCTCCGCCCGAATGCTCCTCCCCTTTGTTGAAATGGATGATGACTGATCAGGGAAGCGGTCTGGATTTGGCCACTTTCTGTCCCTACATTTAAATCCCAACACCTGAGTCTCAAAGATTCATGTTGCTCTGCTCAAATCCGGGTTGGATTGTAAGAGGGTTTCCCGGCCTCTGTGCAATTTTATAATTGAAGCCCTCTGGGCCCCTTTGCATTGTAAAAAAAAAAAAAAAAAAAAAGGATGATGACACAGGTTTCTGATGTGGACCAATTTTTGGGTCAAGACTCAAAAATTGATTACCGCTTTGTTTTCAGCTTCCGTCCCTTAACAATAATTAATAATTAATAATTAATAATGAATAATTAATAATTATCATTGAATTATTTTGAATATAATAAATTCAAGAAATTATTTTTGTTCGGTCCTTCAGTTGAAGTTGTTGTCAGGCTACCGTCTTCCCCCGAATAAAACATACGCTCCTTGTCAGTACTGTATCTGGACTGAAAGTTGGCCCAAATACAGCTCTGATGAGTGTACGTTCTCTGGTTGTTTTTTCTTTCCCTTCATGGGCCATTTCTGCTTCTTCTATTTATGCATGTCATCCTTGCACAGGGGCCATGTGAATCTTCTTTCGCTGTATCGCCGTATCGTTCCAATTTTAGCGGATGTTGGGGACGACGAGGATAGGGCCTGCGGACAGTTTTTCCTGCCTGTGACCTGTGACCTTGAGCCCCCTGCCCCCTCCCCTCTCCCCCCCCTCTCTTCTTCCTCCTTTGCCCCCTGGCACCTCTTCTTTGCTTAGTCTGGCTGCGATGGAACCGTAGGTAGACGGTCTGTAGACATGCAAATGAACTGTTCTTGTTTTTTTTGTTAAGTTGTTTTCAATGAATTGTGACTTGTGCAGTTTTCGTTTCTCCTTCGATTTACGTTTTTGATCTTTTGGATCTTTTCTGGTGCTGCTCTTTCTTTTTCTCTCTTCTTTTCTTATCTTTTCTTTTCCCCCTGATCTTTTGTGTGTTTATGCAGGTGAAACTCATTGATGAATTCACAAATAAGCAGGGCATGACCAGTCATTGTTATCGAATAGCGTACCGCTCCATGGATCGATCTTTGACGGATGAGGAGATAAACAGAATCCAGGTACGATAGGAAGATCGCACGGAGGGTGGGAAACCAGGGAAAGGTCCTTCTTCTTCTTCTTCTCCTTCTTCTTCTTCTTCTTCTTCTTCTTCTTCTTCTTCTTCTTCTTCTTCTTCTTCCTCTTCTTCTTCTTCTTTTTGTTTTTTTTTGTTTTTTGTGTTAAAGCCCAGGGTGTTGTAGAGGCCAAGGACTAGACCCACGGTGATCGCTGGCAGCGGCAGCCGATGGCTGTCCTGACAGGATAGGCCACCTTCCCATCTACCCTTCCCCATGTTAAATACTCCCAACGCACCCCCTATCCCTACTATCCTACCTCAAGGTCTTCTTCACCCAACCGAACTTCACTGTGCATCTCCTTTGTTTTTTGTGGGTTTTTTTTTTTTTTTTTTCCCTTTTCCTATTTCAGAATTTTCTCGTTTTTTTCTTTTCATTTTTTTTTTCCCAGAATAATGGCCTTGAGGGGAAGTTGAGGTATCATCATAGAAGTGGCCCAGCCCGAGGTAGCTCGCACTGATTTTACTCCACTTGTGTGTTTATCAATAGTTACACGCGTGTGTACCATTCAGTCACGTGGGCTGCTGGGTCGCTTTGCATATCTCCTTATTCCACCATAGCCTGGTATTTAGATTGCTGCCTGCCTGTCTGCCCCCAAAAAAAAAGAGAAAAAAAAAGAAAAAAGAAAAGAAATGGATTGCTCGCCGCCAATGTGCTAAATTGGTAGCGTCAATGTGCTCTGAGTGAGGGTGAGAGAAGCTGATAAATCGGAATGAAGTTCAATGAACCTGTGGCCAAAAAATAATAATAATAATAATAATAAAATAAAAATAAAATAAAAATTGAGAACCCCCGAAAGAGGATACGAGGAGCCGAAAAAAAAAAAAAAAAAAAAGGAAACGAAGCGGGAACAAGAAGAGCAAAAAATTAAGCAAAAGAAAAAAAGAAAAATATAACAAAAGGCCAAGTCACAAAATTGGGTGAGCTATGTAATATGTATCTTTCGTCTCTCTGTGCTCCACAGCTTCGGACTACTTTTCTTTCTTCTCCGGTTGCAAAACTTGCAACCCACCCTCATCATTTTTGTCTGTTACCCCTTGTGATTGCTGTCCCTTGCACCTCACTCCGACAAGTGGACTGTTCCGATGCATTTTCATGAGGGCTTCGGGACCCCAAAATCTAGACCCCCCCACACTCCGACATACCCACCAGATGACTGCATCCCCATCGCAACCCTATACCGACCTGCCAGCAGTCTCGGACCAACCCTCTCATACCAACCCACATATCAACCCTCCTCATACAAACCACGCGACCAACCCTCACACACCGACTCTCGGGCCAACCCTCTCATACCAACCGACATATCAACCCACATATCAAGCCGTCTCATACCAATCCTTAGACCAACCCTCTCACACCAACTCTCAGACGAACGCTCGCGCCAACGCTCAGTACCAAGCCTCACCCGACCAAGCTACCTCCGTTGAAGCCTCCTCACACTGAGGCTGACTCCAAGGTCCCAACTGTCCCAACCCCGTCCTGGCGTCGAAGATTCTTCAATCAATCGCCATTCCCAGACACGTGCCTTCGCAGATCTCTGAAGCCTGGTCGCAGATCCCGATGACAGCCATATGTCACCTCATACCCCAGCTTAATCTCTGACCCACCGGATCCTGAATCGATCCACAACCATAACCTTGGCTTTTCACCCAATGCCTCCTCCTCCAGTCCCGACAGATTCCCAGATAATCTCGACCCACCGAAGGCTAAGGGGTTTGAAAGCGCAGGTGAAAGTCTGGAACCCCTTAGCCTCCTCTGCAGCTTCAGATGTTCTTCAGCTTCGGATGGGAATCTGAAGCCTGCCAACTGTGTTTCAATGTTGTTTGCACCTTTTTGCGTCAACCAGTCGTTGCTATAGACAGGGGAGGGGGCGGTCATAAAATTGGGAAATTTCAAATTTTGAGAAAAAAGCGAAGAAAGAAAGAGGATGGTAATGGGGTCATTTTGGAGTTTTTTTTTTTTTTTTTTTTTTTTTGAACAAAATGATCCGATGTGTTCAACTCGCTCGCTCAATGCAAGATAAATACCGTCTTGCGTTGAGTAGAGAATGGCCAGGAATCATGAATGTACAGAAGGCAGGTTTCTGGGCAGATAGAGTCGTGATAATGGGCAGGAATCCTGAATGTACGGAAGGCAGGTTTCGGGGGTAGATACAGTCATGATGAGCATGTGTGTCTTCCTATTTTTTGCACAAGGATGGTGGCGGGCATCGAGCCAGTCCCCTGTGCTGTCTCGCACCGTCGTTTTTTTTCCCCCTGTATACCGAACTTCGACCGATGGCACAGGACAAGAACTATGTCTGTCTGTAACTAAAGACGAGAAACTATTAGACGAAGACGTCAGTGTCTTCGCTGAAATCTAGCTCTGCCTTTTGGCAGGAATACCCGGAATAGGCAAAAAGACCTTCAGCTATGCTTAAAGCCAATTTGAGAACCCGATTTATTTTACCTACATGCCAGCTATCGGGGTTATCCCAAAAGGGGCCCGCGACCAAAAGGGGCCCGCGGCCAAAAGGGGCCTGCGGCTGATTTATTTTACCTACATGCCAGCTATCGGCCGCGGGACCCTTTGGGATAGCCCCTGCCAAGTTGAGAAGCCGATTGAGTCTCTCCTCAAAATTTCGGAGGCTGCTGCCGCACAGTAGGTAAAATGAATGGGCGGCGGGTGGTGTCCGGAAGAGGCCAGCGGACGATAGCAAGCATGTGCTGGTGGTTTAAACCACGAGTGCCGAAGCACAGTGCACCGTGCGCCGGTCAGCAAGGTGGCTGCAGTTGGGACATAACTGGAGCGCCTGTCCTGGGATAAATTTCATTCATATGTCCATTCAATTGAAAAGCTGTCCAGGTGCATAGGAAGGAGGGGTCGATACCATGTCGTCTAAAGACGCAGGTTTTTGCTGGAGAAACCTTTGGCTGTGGTTATGAAAGCTATATAAAACAGAAATGCCCCACACATGGACGCAGGGCCTGACTTCTCGACCGCCTGCTGCCCATCGAGCCAGGCGGAGGCCCAGTACACCCCTACATGGTATCATCCCTTGCCGGAATCAGACTGCTCTCCGACCCAGCCTCCCACCAGCCCTCCGGTCACAGGGTACTGCTTGGGCCTACTGGGCCCGAGCCTTAGGAGCGGCCTGTCTTTCCTTTTAGGCTTGTAATAGCTAGATAATGGTTGGAATCCACAATTGGGGATTGGGCTGTTTGCATCAATTTCGCAGAACTGTCTGCTTGTAAAGTTTTGTGATCAGTTTTACTTCTCAGTTGCCTTTGCAGATTTTCAGGGCCACTCTGCTCTGATGCTAGAATCACTATCTGACAAAGCCCACCTGAGATAGACTGGAGAGAGAGAGAGAGAGAGAGAGAGAGAGAGAGAGAGAGAGAGAGAGAGGCGCTGACACACTGACGGGCAGCCTCCACAGGGAGAGGGGGAGAGGGAGAGAGAGAGAGACGAGGGGGGAGGGTGTTCCGTGGAGAGAGAGAGAGAGAGACGAGGGGGGAGGGTGTTCCGTGGAGAGAGAGAGAGAGAGACGAGGGGGGAGGGTGTTCCCGAACTCCTGAAGATTCGGACGTCGGGCCCAACGACGACTGCCATTGATAAATCTGATCCGGCGGTCGCCACTTCGTTTCAGCCTCCGAAAAGTCCGAGGACCAACCGAGGCCTGCTATTTTCCCATGCGGCAAAGGTACTAGTGGTTAAAAAAAAAAAAAATCGACTTCAGTTAATCGACAAGTGAAGTACCGATTTATATGTGAGCAGAGATCACCATGACTTACATGAACCTTTTTTGTGAAAAAAAAAAGGAAAATTGCCAAATTGCCAAAAAAAAAATGGTATATTATAATATAATTAATATTAGTAAAACGTTACGATATTCAGATAATATTCTGCATTAGGATAGTATTATCTCTAATAACATTGTTGGCACCAACTGTACAAAGATGTGTTTTTTTTTTGAACAGCTCATCAACGGTGGAGGGCATATGCCATTCAGCCACTAGTCAGGGACCTGAATGGAATGAACCTGGACGGAATAAACTCTTAGGTTCCCATACTTTTTTCTTTTCTCGTTCCGCTGGCTTGAATCTAATCCATGCGCTCTGTGAACGAAATGTCTGCAGGAAGCCGTTCGCAAAGATGTGGAGGGAAAATTGAAGGTTACGCTTCGCTGAGACCCCTGCCACAGTGTACCAATTCTTCTAGAGAAGCAGACAGAGAACGAGCGGGGTAGAGAGAGAGAGAGAGAGAGAGAGAGAGAGAGAGAGAGAGAGAGAGTTTGGAAAGGAGATTGACAATGAGAGTTGTATTGCGAAATTCATGAGGCGGTGTCCTGTTTTTTTTTTTTTTTTTTGAAGGATAGGGATGCCTGTACATAATTTCTTTAATTTGTTTTTTATTCCACTTCAATTATCTAACATATTGTCGACTGAGGTAAGAGTCTTGCATTAGCTTGTTAACATCGACGGCAGGTTTGGAATGGAGTTGAAAAAAAAACGAAGCCGGAAAAAGGAAAAAAGAAATAGGGACCTTGTCGATGATTTTGTCAAGGGTTCACCTATTCGTTGTGGGCTTGTTTTTTTTTGTGTTTTTTTTTTCATAAATATTAAATTATTAAAATTGGAGAAATGAGAGAGAATGGGAGGAGGAGGATGCTAACGAGGCGCGGGTTTTCAGCCGGCCTTAGTTTTCACAACTTTTCAGCAAAAATGATAAATCAACCTGTAAAGCACCAGCACCTTTCGCGGGCAAGCATTTTGTGCCAAAGTGCCTACTTCCACATTCTTTGGGGGCTTGGCCTCTTGGGCTTTTTGGGCTGGCAGCGTCAGCCACAAAGAAAAAGAGAGTGCCATAATCGTTCGTTCGGTGTTTTTTTTTTTTTTTTTTTTTTTTTCAATCGTAAACGTTGTCCTCATTCACGGTTTCAAGTGAAACGATCCATGGGATCCGTAATTCATCACTTCAAGCTTTACACAGAGGCCCAGAGGTTGTGTCTGTACCCGCTTCTTCTACGCGCACACTTGTAGATGCACTCAAAGGAGAATTTGAGGGTGTGTATGTTACCGAGGGTAAGAAAAAAAGAAAAGAAAAAAAAAGTTGCCGAGGGTATATTTAGTTACCGAAGGAACGCAAATCGTCCTTACCATTTATAAGGGCTTAATTTTATGTTGAAACTTGAAACATCACATGCTCGCAGATGTGGTTGTTGGGGTTGTTTAAACTGACCACGCAAAAAAGAGGCTTGGGGGTAGTGGCTGGTGGGTTATTTAAAAAAAAAAGAAAGACCACGCAAAAAAAGAGGCTTGGGGGTAGTGTGTGGTGGCTTATTATTATCTTTTTTTAAATAAAGTTCTAATTTCTAACTGCTAGGCTGTTTTGCTGGGCGGCCGGGCATCCAACTTGTGCCTGGACACACGCCTGGGTGCGTGGCCGGGCATGACCCGGGCAGGGTTCCGAGCAGCCCCAGCACAAAAAAAAAAAAAAAAGGAATCAAAAAGTTATCGAAAAAGAGTGTGTTGTATAGAATTGCAATTTATTATTATTATTTTTTTTTTTCTTTCTATAAGAAGGCTAACTCATTTTCTACAAGCCAGGGAACGGGCCTGGCATCCCTTACAAAAGTATGCGGTACCACAGGGTGAGTGAGGCATCACAGGCCAGGCTCAAGGAGGGGACCACCTTCCAGAATTGTATCACTAACGACTTTTGGCTAAGGGTCATATCTGAATTCCTAACGGATTCGAAGTTCAAAAATACAACAACAGAATCAGATTAAGGCACCCCTCTTCAGACCTCTTTGGCCCCTTGAAAACCAATTTATACCTCCCCCAATTTCCCCCCCTTGATAGCCGTAACTCGAAACGAGAAAGGAAACAGGATTTTACCTCCTCTGGGCATGTGCTGAAACCCCCCACCCAAACGGAAAGGGAAAAAAAAAAAAAAAAAAAAAAAAAAAAAAAAAAAAAACAACAGAAAAGCATTTTTTTTTTTTTTTAAATGCTGATTTTTGCCTGCACGGGGTGCCCAGGGGCCAGTGCAGGTGACCCCCGGGCGACTTGTCCGGGCCCCGGGCTGCACGGCCGTGCTGCAGGCCCGGGCGAGCCAACTAACTGAGGAAAGTTCAGGGAACAATCAAACCCCGTTACCATCGTCCCGTATCTCCAATGTAATAAATTCATTGAATTCACCTTTATCATGTGCATTACATTTGAACGATTACGTAAAAAAAAAAAAAAAAAACACCTTTATCAAGGGCGTTATCATCGTTATGCATTATACTCCCATTATGCTGAACAACCATGGCTATTTTTATGCTACCGTGGTACTCTTACTGAGTCTTACATTATGCTCCTCCCCTCTTCTCCCCTCTTCTCCCCTCTTCTCCCCTCTCCCCTGCCCTTCTCTTTTACTGTGTGTGTTTTGACATCTGTCATCGACTTTTGTACATTTCGTCTGGCTTTTTTTTTAGTTATATAATTTAACTGATCAGAACCGATGCATTGCACTTGATCTTACTTAGCCAAAAGGCCGAGAAAGGTATAACGTCTGGCTTTTCAGACGATCATCCTTTCACGGACCGTGCAGAGAGGACAGTATATGGGAGTTAAAAATTACTAAATTGGCACGTGCAACAGAATGTGCTTGTAGTAGATGATGGAGTCGTAGATTATTCTAGTCAATCGTTCAGCTATCAATGCTGCCATGGACTTGGGCCCATTTGGGGCCCATTTGGAGCCATATTGGGCCTATTTGGGGCCATGTGGGCCCATTGGGCCGTCGTTTGATGGTTGCATCAACCCATGCATGCATGATACAATACTGCTAGAAGATTGGGAAAATTTATTGAGTGGGAAGGCCACTTCCTAGGCAACGGTCCCCCCGATTCATCCAGTGAAATGGAAGGCACAAAATGAAGTCTCATGGGTTAGGCACGAAGCACAGGGAAAAGTATATAGCATAGTAAATGTCAAATGCAAAGGAGGAAAAATATGAAATGAGTGCCAAGCTCTTTTTTTTGTTTTGTTCTGTTTTTTGTTAACCCGGCTCCATCTGTTGGTCGGGTCGGGAGCAGCACCTGATGGAAACCAGGTCCATCGTCCCATGAAAGCAATATCATTGACAGTAGAGCAAGATTAGTGAGAGGACAATGAGATCCTCCATAACCGCTTACGGCTACTGGCCTGCAAGGCATACCTCTTCACCCACTAAATGGGCGCCGCCGGTCCGCCGCGCTGGTTTGTGATCATCCTGCTCTGGTCGGTATACCCTGCAGAGTCCATGAACTATTTTACGGAGTTTAATTACACGTCACAAATGAATCTTCTTCTAGTCTTTTTGTCCATCATACCAACTCAAGCGAAGAAGGCTCATTGAAGGCGGAGGGAGAAGTCACTGGAATCCAGATAGAGCAGAGGCCGCAGCGGGATGGAGGGAGGGATGCCTTGCAGGCGATAATCACGTCGTCCAATCATTGTCAACGACTTGAAGGCGATAATCCCTACAAAGCTCATTCTGATTCTTCCTCCTTACCTCTTGCACTTTACTGCCCCAAGTCTTCGCTCCAATTTTCATTTTTGCCCCCTGCCCGCAAAAGCCCGCTGCAACAGAATGTTGAGGGGCGGCCTTAGTGGTGTCTGCTCTTATCAGCACACGTCTGAACTCCAGTCACCTTGAAAAAAAGTAAAAAAAAAAAAAAAAAAAAAAAAAAAAAAAAAAAAAAAAGACATTACAGGTAAGAGAAGTATCTGCATGAGGAAGATCGGTCAGTCTGGTGAACGTTGGCGCAGATCAGGACTTGCAGTCTGAGCATTAATGTGCTGACAGGAACTCCCAAAATTGTTTCTCTAAGGTACTTTCCGTCTGTAAATGGGACGCTGGACCTGCTTTCCAGCAGGTGATGCTCTCCACCAGTAGACTGGAGCCTCCCCCCAGGTGTTAGTGGTGTCTGCTCTTATCAGCACCGCTAACACTGGTGGGGGAGTTAATGGGAAAAAAAAAAAAAAAAA